CCATCGCTTGCCCCCATTGTCCAATCAAATTCAAAGCTGTTTTTGGAAGGGTTACTAGATTTGATATACAGCCGTGTGCCGTTCCTAGCCATTTGACCTTGAAACTTTTCTTGGAAAGAGACAGTTAACTTTCATTTCCTTTGAAGCCTCCTCCCTCCCATCTAGTCCCCCTTGAGTTCATGGCAGCTGATACTGAATGGTTGCAAAGCCCAAGCCTGAGGCGGAAGCTGACATTAGGTTCAATATCTAAATTATATTTGGAATGTAAAAAAAAAAAAAATACTGTAAGAACCAAAAGGCTTTAACAAAAGAGAAAATAAAAACCAATTGCTCCTAGATTATTTGCTATTTTCACCTGTTTTATTTTTGCTAGGATCTGGTTTCTATTTCATTCATGGTCAACATTTTGGAAATATTTGAATGCTTGCTGTAGCTGAAAGACTGGCAACTAGTGTACTTCTGTGGAAGAAAAAGGCAAGGATGGGGGGAGATCAAATAACCCATTATGGGGTTTGAGCTCATCTTTCCGAGTTTACTTTTGCAATATCCCCATTTCTGGTTTACTGAGCAGCGAGTATTGTTCCAGTGTAACGTGGTCTGATGTAACAGGAAGCCAGTGTAACAGAACTTTGAAGTGCGGTAAGCTTATTTCCTTTTACTGTTAATGAGGGAGAAGTGGAACCGTCTTAAGGTAAGTGTTTCTCTCTGAGATTTCCTAATGAAATTATCTCTAATTATTTATAATTTATTTTGGAGTAAGCATGCTGCTTTGTTTTTTTATCACAGAGTAATAGAGTTGGGAGGGAGGACAGAGCTCATGCGGAATCCATTAGAAGACCTTTTATTTATTTGAGCTCTGTAAAATGTATTTTTCTGGCCCTGGATGTAGGATATACTGTAGTACCCACAGCAGAGTCATAGAACAGGAAGTAGATATACCCCAGATCATTTTCATAGGATAGACAAAAACGTGGGGGAAACGTGGATGTAGATGGCTCTTAAGAAATATTTTCTCCCATGAGAATGTATTCAGATTCAGTGCACTTGTATATAATTTCAGTTATACAATTTGTTCCACTTGAGGATTTTGGTGACATTACGAGGTATTGAGAACAGAGAAGGATACCGAGACTGAGTGATTTATACAGAGCTGCAGAGCAAAAATAATGGGAACTAGGTTGCATGGTTTTTGGTAGAGGCTGCCAATAGTTATGTATCCTTCGTATATCCTTTTGTTTACTACTTTCAGTCTCCTAGGCAGTATATCTTAAAAAGCAGGGAGAACAATAGAAGTGACACCCCTTCAGAATGTGCTTGAAAGCTTTGCCAAATATATCCAGCTGGTCATTTTGAAGATCCAGGGTTAGATGACCAACCAGCCTGAATAGGTAGAATTCAAAAATGTCATGTTCAGGACTGAGCTGTAAAGATGTGGTATGTCAAAATGAGACAGGAAGTGTTCCGTTTTTCTCATTCATTTACATCTTGTACAATTTTATAATAATAATAAAAAAGTTGGAAGGGACCTTGGAGGTCATCTAGTCCAACCCCCTGCTCAGGCAGGAAACCTCATACCATTTCAGACAAATGGCTGTCCAGTCTCTTCTTAAAAACTTCCAGTGTTGGAGCATTCATAGCTTCTGGAGGCAGGTTGTTCCACTGGTTAATTGTTCTAACTGTCAGGAAGTTTCTCCTTAGTTCTAGGTTGCTTCTCTCCTTGATTAGTTTCCATCCGTTGCTTCTTGTCCTGCCTTCAGGCGCTTTGGAGAATAGCTTGACTCCCTCTTCTTTGTGGCAGACCCTGAGATATTGGAACACTGCTATCATGTCCCCCCTTGTCCTTCTCTTCATTAAACTAGACATACCCAATTCCAGCAACCGTTCCTTATATGTTTTAGCCTCCAGTCCCCTAATCATCTTTGTTGCTCTTCTCTGTACTCTTTCTAGAGTCTCACATCTTTTTTACATCGTGGTGACCAAAACTGGATGCAGTATTCCAAGTGTGGCCTTACCAAGGCATTGAAGAGTGGTATTAATACTTCACGTGATCTTGAATCTATCCCTCTGTTAATGCAGCCTAGCACTGTGTTGGCCTTTTTGGCAGCTGCAGCACACTGCTGGCTCATATTTAAGTGATTGTCCACTAGAACTCCAAGGTCCCTCTCACAGTTACTACTATTGAGCAAGGTACTCCCTATACTATACCTGTGCATTTGGTTTTTCTTGCCTAAATGTAGAACCTTGCTTTTTTCACCGTTGAATTTTGTTAGATAGCGCCCAGTGTTCAAGTCTGTCCAGATCCTCCTGTATCTTAAGCCTCTCTTCTGGAGTGTTGGCTATTCCTGCCAGCTTGGTGTCGTCTGCAAATTTGATGAGTTCCCCATCTATCCCCTCGTCCAAGTCATTGATGAAGATGTTGAAGAGCACTGGGCCCAGAACAAAGCCCTGGGGCACCCCACTACACACTTCCCTCCATGTAGATGCGGTTCCATTGAGGACCACACACTGAGTACGGCCAATCAGCCAGCTATGGATCCATCTGTGGTGAAATATACAACAAAGGTTCATCGTGTTTGCAAGCTGCAAATAATTCCATAGAAAATGCTGCCAGAGTGTCCTTAAATGGAACCTTATCTGTAGTTTTCTGCAATGCAAGTAGTTCTTGACTTATAACTGGTTTTTTAACAACTAAGAGCCATGGTGGTGCAGTGGCTAGAATGCAGCATTGCAGGCTAATTCTCCCGACTGCCAGCAGTTCGATCCTGATTGGCTCAAGGTTGACTCAGCCTTCCATCCTTCCGAGGATGGTAAAATGAGTACCCAGATTGTTGGGGGCAATATGCTGACTCTATAAACTGCTTAGAGAAGGCTGATTGAAGGGGTACAGAAGTCTAAGTGTTTATCTATTGAAAGGTACAACAGCTTTGGAAAAGCATTTCCGGCTGCCTTAAAATGCCATACTGCCCCCTGCCCTGTGGTGACATGATCACAATCTAGGAGCTTGGCTTCACAGGTTGCCAAGTGCCCTGCAGAAAGTTAATGGGGAAGCTCTCTCTCATCTCTCATCTCTGGCACCTGGCTGAAAGAGAAAAAGGAAACTGAAGCGCTTCGGTGACGTGTAGAAACGGAGCAGTTTCCTTCCACACACAGAGGGGAGCCAAACTCTTCCGGTGGAGTGCAGAAACAGAGCTCCGATCCCAAAGATACAAGCTCCGATCCTGCAGCCCAACAAAGCAGTTCCCTTCCAGCATTATACTGGAATTATGCTCGGCAGGCAGCTCTTTAACAACCTGGGAGACTGTTTACCGATGGCAATTGGGACGGCCAGGATTGCAGTTGTTGAGCAAAGCAATCATGTGGGCATCTCGCTTACTAACCACTTTGCTCAATGAGTAAGATTCTTCGCTCAATGAGTAAGACTTATCACCAATTGTGGTGATAAGTCGAGAACTACCTATAAGAAGCAGAATCAGGCAAGAAAGAAGTGATTTGCTGTGTCCTGGACTTCCATTTAGGAATCACCAGAACACGTTCCAGGGTAAATCCGTGGGCAGAGGCAGGATTGGGAACCTGGTTGTCCAGGTTTCAAAATGGATCTTATCTTTGCCATCAAAGAAAGTCCAAGAAAAGCGATTTTGGAACTCAAATGTTACCTAATGTGACAGCAAGATGCAGTAGCAATCTAAGAACATCATTCATTGATTTTTCTAAAAAACACCACCACCTTTTTAGGCATTGAAACCCAGAGGTTGCCCCCAACAAGGCTTGCAAGGAACCAAAATAGGCACAATTTCTTCTTAGCACTGCCAGCGTAAGACTAGCGTAAAGCTAGCGCTGGCAGAGCTAAAAAGAAATTGTAGTCGTTTATGCCAGCTAGAGAGGAAAGGATTGCAACAAAAGCAACCGTGACAGGATTTCTTTTTCTTGTTTATTCCCTGTGGACCAAGGAGGAAGTAGGCCTTCTCTAACCTGACTTCCTGAGCTCATCAAAAGGTAACCAAGCTAATGGTGACAGGGAGGTTGGGGTGGGGAGGAGGCCCATATAGCTTTGGGGAAACCAAGGGGCAGGGGGTAGAGCATGGGAAATCCTAGAGGTGAGGGAGGCCTCCTGGGAATCCCTGTGCCTGCATTAGGCCTCCTTGGGGTTCTCCCATCTCTGAGTCACTCCAGGCTCTACCTAACAACCCTCTACCTACCTAATAAATGCACTGGGGAAAGCAGGGACAGGAATGTTGTTAGTTAGGTGCTTCATTTAACATTGTCCTTGATGTCTGACATGAATGGCAAGCTCCATTACTGTTGTAAGTCAAGGACTTACCTGTAGTTTGATAAAAGTTACCCACACAAGTTTTCTATCTTGAACTATAATTACAGGGAGTCCTTGGTTACAACGAAAATTGGGACCAGAATTGCCATCGCTAAGTGACACAGGTGTAAAGTATATTACATAACTGTGCCACTGCCACTTAGAGATGGCAATTCTGGCACTCCAGGCTGCCATTGATAAACAAGGACCTCATGTGACTGCAACATCTATCTTCCTGCCAGCTTCCCCACTGACTTTGCTTGTGGGAAGCCAGGCAGGGAATCATGATCAAGTTATCTATGGCTCGCTGTAAGCCAGGTGCTAAGAGCCTGGATTGCCATCGTATGACTGTTGGGATGCTGCAACGGCCAGAATTCTGAGGGCTGGTTAGAACTCATTCAGTGCCATTGTAAGTTTGAATGGTTGCTGAACAAGTGATTGAGGACCATCTGAAATGAAAAATTAAATGATGCAGAGAGCAGCCACTGTAATAAAAATAAATAAATTTCTGGTTCTTGCAAGATGACATTCTTTAATTGACAAGACCTAAAGCAGTGGTGGCGATCTTATGGCACTTGTGCCAGAGGTGGCACTCGGAGCCCTCTCTGTGGGCATGCGCGCCATTGCCCCAGCCCTGCCTTCCCCCGCAACCCCCTTCTCACCAGTAGGCCCCCCTGGGAAAGAGTTGTCCCCAGGCACGGCCCACGTGGTGCAGCGCAACCAAGCACATGGCAGCCGGGCAGCAGGGGCAAGATTTCGCCCTCGTGCCCCATCATGTGCAGATGATGCTGCGGGGTGCAGGTGGAGGGCGTGGCCGCCATGGCATTGCAAGGCCGCCTGCGTGATCTGTGGTGAGTGGCGGAGCGGGGGGGCAGAGCGGGGGTTTGGGGGCACTTGATCTCTAAAAGGTTCGCCATCACTGACCTAAAGCAGGCTCATTTTGCTGGATCTAATAGGATGAGTAGAGACCACTGGAGAGAGGCAGTTCTTCAAGTATCCGGCCCCAGCCATGAGGGGCTTTATAGATGACAACTAACACCCTAAATTGCACTTGGAAATCAGCTAGGAGCCAAGGCAGCTTGCAAAATAAAGGTATAAAGGTATAGCATGGGCAAATCAGGAAACGTTCGTAATTATTCTCTTATATGAATCTTTTAGCAGCTAAAAAGTTAGAAGAGAAAAGAAGAATGCAAGATTATTTTTCCGACAATGTCTTCTATTTGCTGCTAAAAGCCTAAAGGCTGAAATAAGCCTATTTATAATCAACAGCACAGTAATATCTACACATCTTGTTTACCAAAGCTGGTTCGCTTCCTTAAAAGGTCATCAGAATGACAATGAAAAAAAATCCAGGAAAAAAAACCTCAGGTTTTAACATTATTATTTGAATTGTCATTTTTGTTGAATGCCAAAACAAGGGACATAAGTGGTTAAGGAAATCCATCACAAAATGCTCACATTTCATGTTAACAATTAACTCGTTTCATGTGACTGAAACCACATAAAAATGGACAAACTTAATGACTGAACCTGCCTTGAAGGGCAATGGATCCTAAGAACATTTCCCCTCATTTCTTAACTTTGGCTTTAAACCATCTGTCTTTCCAATACTGGGTGAGTGTACAATTTCTGAATCTTTAAGAATGAATTGTTTTAAAATTTGAACCAGCTGTAACATTACTAGAAATTATTTGGTGCAATCATTTACTTTGGCAATAAGCCCCACTGAACTCAAAGGAACTTACGGCTGACGATTGCATTCAAAACTGGTATATATTCAGATTCAATCATTCCCCATTTAATTGTAATCCAAAACATTTTGCCGAGTATAAGTGTTTTAAAAGTGTTCCCAGTTAGAAAACAAATACATTTTAAATTAAATAGAAGAAATATGGTATGTTTAATGAAATTTTAAGGATTTTTACTCTCTATCATCTACATCCTTGAGAAGAACTGCTGGTTTGTAAATTCCTCTCCTTTTAAGCTGTTAAATGAGGAACACCTCTAAGTTGATAGATCAAATGCTTTAAATAAACATTTACGATAATTTATATTGAGAGTGATTAAAAGTGTGTGGATCCTTCCCAACAACTAAATGGTTAACCTTCCTAAAGGTCTTGGTGCCTATTTCACTTTTAATTTTAATGAGAGAGGGATATTTTAAATAATAAGCAAAAGTATACTATATTAGTGGTCATCACTTCTGTTGAAGAACTTGGCAATTCTTATATAAGTTTTATATCAAATAATTTTTTATGCCAATTATTTCTTTTAAAAAATGAAAATACTTTCATTTGCTCTAGAATTCATTAATTCAGATCATTAATTTTAGAAGAGTGAAAGTATTGTTGCTTATAATCCCACAACCAAATTCTGTTTGAAAAATTGTTCACTATTAATCCCAATTTGGACTTTAGGCTGAATGATAATTGTCCCATATTATTTAGAGAATACACAAAAAAGCTCATTGATTCTGAACTGGGCCATCTGTTTGTATATTCTAAAATATGTGTAATCAAGATTAAATCTCAATCTACACATTTTATACAAAGTATTATACATGTATAATGGTAATAATCCAAAACTGATTATGTGCCTTACAAAGAAGCTATAAATATATGGTTATGATGATTTTTCCCCATTAAGTTATTATCACTACATGGACTTTGTCTGTACTGTACTATTAGATTTTTTTTTTAATTTAATCCAGTACTGTTTGTCCTGATTAGCAAAAGCTTTCCAAAGTCCTCCTGAAAAATTATGTAACAGTACTGCTTATATGAAACCCTAAAAAGCTGTGAATGTAGTCTGTGATTTTTGGCATAAATCCATGCTTCATCACTAAGCTTTTAAGTTTTTTAAAAATTTATTTATTTCTATCCCACCTTTATTATTATTACAAATCACTCAAGGCAGTGAACGTATCTAACATACCTTCCATCTCATATTTTTCCCACAACATCAACCCTGTAAGGTGGGTTGGGCTGAGAGACAGTGACACTGGCCCAAAGTCACCCAGCTGGCTTTCCTGGCTAAGGTGGGACTTTTTCTCCTTTGTAACCATGAATGCAATCACTGAAAATTCTGATAGTTAATAGCATAAATAAAAGTTTGCTTCTCTGAAAAATCCCATTCCTTTCAATACTGTCAGTTTTTGGGCTGTGCCTCTTTAGTGCAAAGCACTATGCCAGGCAACTTGTGCAAATGAAGCTTTTAAAAATGCTCAGTTCTTCATCCATTACCGATATATCAATTTATCCATATGAATTGATGCAGGAAACGTATCTCATTTTGGCATATTTTGAACATGCCTTAGTTGACATCCTTCCTAAACATGGTGCCCTCCTAGGCTTAGATCCATCATTGCAGTCAAGGCCACATTGGCTGTGAATGATGAATATTTAGGCCCAATGCAGCTGGAAGACCCTAGCTACTCATACATATTTATATGTTCTAGCACATCTTTCAGCAAAAATTAGGCCTTTTTGTTTTTAAAACATATGTATATGGTGGCCTATATTCTGCTGGATAGTAAAGAGGTTATGAAACTAATAGCAAGTAGGGAAATTCCAGGATTGACAACTACTACCAGACAAAGCTGGTTGAGCCTTCATCAAATCCGAAAAAAGACCCAGCAAGAGCTCTTCCATTACAGACAAAGAAGAAAACAACAAGTGTAGCAATGTTGTCATTCCATATATTGCAGGAATACCTGAAAAGCTCAGAAGGATTTTCAACCAAAACAACATACATGTATACTTTAAATCCAAGAATACATTAAGGCAGAAGCTTGTCTACCCCAAGGATAAAACACCCAAACTTAGCAATGTGATATATGCAATACAATGCAGTGAGACACGTGCAGATCTATACATTGGTGAAACAAAACAACCACTTCACAAGAGCATGGCACAACATAGGAGATCTAACCCATCAGGACAAGATTCAGTGGTCCAACTGCTTTGAAAGACAAAGGTCACTTTTTTGAAGACCGCAAAGTCCTCATTTTGGACAGAGAGGACCATTGATTTGAAAGAGGGATAAGAGAATCCATCTATGTTAGAATTGAACACTCCTCTCTCACCAAAAGGAGAGAAATAAGACACCACCTATCTCCAGTCTACAAGATGGCTCTTGTAGCAGTTCAAGAAGATTCCACAACCAATTGCAACCTGATTCAGGTGACCCTGAGGGCATAGATAAATCCCCAAGTGGCCTCAATAGCTCTCAAAGAGAGTGCTAACAACCAGATGACTGCAAAGAAATGCAATTCTTCCATCCACCCCACCATCCTATCACAACCTATCCTTCCATTCCCCCACCATCCAGGATCAACTGTCAATACTTATCCTTCCATTCCCCCACCACCAGAATTCATGAAGCGTCTTGGATGAAAAGCAAAGTGTTTTATTCTTCTTCCTCAAGGAAAAAACAATCCAATTGCCTTTCGGGGGGAAAAAGCACCTTTGAGATAACTATGACCTGGATGACTGAGAATCTCCACCAACATTGATTGGGTTGTTAAGACTGCTGAACTACTGTTATGATAAAAGATACCTAAAAACACAGCTCCAGTGCTATTGCAGTTTATTATAATTGAACCCCCACTCTTACATTATGGGATACACAAGATGTCCTACGCAGGCATCAAGTTTTCCAATCATTTTCCTCCTTGTTTGAATATTGTATAAAAGGCAAAGGTGACAGGCAGTGAGCGTACTTTTTTATTGCTGCAATAACAAACAAATTGGGTTGGATTTCTCTTGCCCTGCGTGTTATTTGGGGGCCCTCATGATGGATCCTTTTACTTATACTGGTTTTATGGCCAACACATAAAACTTCAACAATACAATAATATTCATTTATTTTATTTATTACATTTGTTTGCCACCCATGTGACCAAGAGGTGGATTCTGCTTTAACATAACATTGTCTTAAGAACTAAGAAAACCTTCTGTAATTTACTTTTGGGGCTATTACTAGTGGACTACTTATAAAGGTGTTCTCATTTCCACTTCTGAAATGGTGAAGAATGTCCAATATTATTGACTGGCAAAACTCCAGGATGTAATCTTGCCCCACCAAAGTGTGTATTTAAATGCATTCATCGTTCTCTCTCTCTAAAGTTCCTGCTTTATTTTCCATTTTTAGCTTATGCTATGCAGAAAAAAAAAAATCTGTTCTCTTTACGATACCAAACTGATGAAAGGTTGCTAGTCATACAGAGAATTTACAAAGGCATGAGGGGAGGAAAAAAAAAGATAAGACATGAATTCACACTGCTGAGTTCCACAGATTCCTTAAAGGTGAAAGTGCTGAGCACAAACTCAAGAGATTCCAGGTAGCTTGCAGGATATTCGCTCAGGAGATGCAGCAGATCTTAACAATTCAAACTGTACCCTTTTACTTTTTAAAAGTAAAGATTTTAAATTGGTTTGAAGCATAGCATTTGCTGCCCTTTCATGCTCTTATCTCCCCAATGACAGGAAACAACATCGATTGCAGATCTCCTTTTTTTTAAAGTTATTCACTGTCACACAGCCATTTCAGACTAGAGCCACCACCGCCCCACACACACACACACACACACACACTTCCCAGCTCCTAACATTCATTACAGTGTAAGCAATGTCCATTATATTAATCTATTCTTGGCTGTGTTAGTCATTTTGCAGCAGGCAGCATTTCAAGAGCGTGATTCTGTGTTCCTCAGAAATGTTTACATTCACCTTCCAAACGCTGCTTCCTTCCCCCCCCCTTTTTTTCACATTACGGAAAGGTTGGTATGAGAGCAGAACGTTTGCTGATTCAGTGGATACTTTACAGCTCGTCTTATTAAGAAGATGCTATGTAGATGTTTACATACTAAGCCTAACTCCTATGAGCCTCCAGGCAAGCACTATTCTATGGGGAACTGATTTTCCTGATGTTTTTCTTCGACCTGCAGAAGCAGCAATGCCAAAGAACACTGTGGCTGGGCAAAAAAAAAAAAAAAGATCAGGCTAAACAGCAAAATGAATGCATCCTTCATCTAGCCCTCCACACACAGCATCAGCACAGCAAACTTGGGAACAGAAGATTTTTCTGACTTGAAAGCCCAGGTCTTAGCGGTAAGGACAATGAACCACATTCTGTATATTATTGTGTTTTTTTTTTTATAACTGTACGTTTTAAATGGGAGCATGTTGTTCTTAATATGCCGGTTAACATGTGATTTCAACTCAAATGAAGCTTTGAGATTTATGGGTGCGTGGGGTGAGCACACAGGCACTTCAATGCAAGACCAAAAATCATTAGAGAGGTAGATTATTAGAGATTTTTGCTACTATCTGTCATATCGTAAGATTAAAAAAATCATTTGAGTTAAGAAAATACGCATGCATATAAAGATATAGACATCATATGCAAGCATAATCTCTGCCGAACAGGGTTGGTTGAGTGTTTGTTGTGGCTGAAAAAATCAATACAAGATAATTGTTGGTTTGAATCTCAGTATTTCAACAAGCTGTCCCTTTCCCTGCATCTTCCCCCCCCCCTAGGGTTGCCTATACTTAGCATCTAAGTATTCAAGGATGAAGACCTTATTCCTGATCTCTAAAGAAACATACTACTATACTGAGGCACTTCTAATATTTCAACAAAGCCACACTTGTGGAAAAACATACTCAGAAAGGTAAAAATATGCAACAGTATTTTTTTTCTTCTAAAAGTGCTCTGAAAGCCTCTTTAAACAGCAGTGCAAGGCAATACAGTATTGCTAAGGTCATAATTTCTTCCAAGCAGAATAAATATGAACCGCATTCAAGACAGCTTCCTTTCTATTTTATACGATGCATTTGAAAACAATACTAATTCAGGCAATTCAAGGAAAAATAAACAGCTCACTGCTTAGATTTCATTATAACGATGATGGTAAAACTTCGGTCTTTTCTGATGTTCCCTCATAAAATCAACAGTAAAAAACAGACTAGATCCAATTCTGGTTATGCTTCAAATATATTTTTGAAATCCATAACAAAGTTTCTATCTAATCCAAAAGATTATCAGCTAGTAAATTGTATGAAAGAACAGTTTATCTCTATTCATGTCAGTGAGAGAAAGATTCCATAATCAAAACCACAAGAAGTAAAAGCAGATTAATTATTAAAGCAGAGTTAAGCCAGTCTTCAAGAACACCTGCATTTGTAATATGAAGCCTTAATAGCAATGAAGTATTTTTTTTCTTTCAAATTGAATGACGCATCGACTAAACTTCATTTAAATTAAATAATTAAAAATGCTCTTTTTCCCCCCCTAACCTTTCCTAGGTAGAACTGTTTCAGAGAACTGTGGCCAGAAAAAAAAAATCCGGAGAACATTTGGAGTTCCAGAAAACATCTGGAAAGCCAAAGATGAACCTACTTGAGACAGCAAAATCAGGGTTTCTAGTCTGCATTGTGGTTTGCATTTTCGTCTTCGGTGTTTTCTATCTACGGAATAAAATCTTCAAGGAAGACAAGGAAAAACTCATCTCGAAAGAGTGTGGTTTTTATCCAGATGAACTTTGCTCAGCTCTTTTTGATGGGAAAGGAGTTGCTTTTCAAATTGGCCAGCGGTGCCAAGAGGCTTTAGGGGGAAAAGAAATCTCTGTTTGCATACAAACACCGTGCAACTGCTCTACACTGCAGAAGAAGCTCCACTTCATTACCAGGCCATTGTCAGAAGAAGAAAGGAACTTTTCCTTGGCATACATCATCACCATTCACAAGGAGCTGGATATGTTTATAAAACTACTCAGAGCCATTTACATGCCTCAGAACGTTTACTGTATACATATTGATGAGAAATCATCAGAGGGTTTTAAGCAAGCTGTCCAAAGCTTGGTCAACTGCTTTGAAAACATTTTTATTGCTTCAAGGACAGAAAAAGTTGTCTATGCAGGATTTTCCAGATTGCAAGCAGATATCAACTGCATGAAGGACCTGATTCATTCATATCCTCAATGGAATTACGTTATTAATCTATGTGGTCAGGATTATCCCATCAAAACTAACAAGGAACTTATACACTATATTAAAAGTAAATGGAACAGTAAAAATATAACTCCGGGAATTGTTCAGCCACCTCATATGAAACACAGAACTTATTTCGGTTACCAAGAAATTGTACGTTCAGGAAAATCGTATGTCTATCCAACTAATAAGGTGAAAAGTGAACCACCCCACAATTTGACCATATATTTTGGGACTGCATACTATGTACTCACAAGAAAATTTGTAGAGTTTACCCTGACTGATGAACGTGCAAAAGATTTGCTTGAATGGTCAAGAGACACCTACAGTCCAGATGAGCATTACTGGGTCACCCTGAACCACATACCAGGTAAGCAGAATTATAGAATTTATCTTGTCTACTGTACATTGTTCACAAATATTGCATACTAGACAACCCTTGGGTCCTCCTTTCAGAAATATTTCTTTACCAGATTCTCAATGCCTTCAACTTCTAAGGTACTTTGCCTTCACTGCAAAACTGGATACATTCAGACATGCATCTGCTATGAAAATACACCATATTGAACTATATAGCACAATTAACATCAGCAGAGAAAATGTCTTATGCCATTTTCGTATTTATTTTGTCATATACATTTTAATACTTTTTATGGCATAAAATGTTTTATAAAATTTGCCAAATTTCAACTCCACAGGAGTTATGAATCCCAGATTTTGGAAACATTCTGTAAGTTAGCCCATTTGAGGTACTTTAATTCAAAAATGTTGCCCTATGATGCATTGTTTTGCCCAGTTAAAGATTACAGTAATGAGAGGTTTTAATAATATATTGATAGATATAAACTAAGGAGACTCTACTGGAAACCATTAACCAAATTCTAAAATCTCTTTTCAGTCTGCCTTCCAGATTTAGAAAATAACAAATTCATAATACACCATGAATTGGAGGGCTTTCCTTTAACTTGGAACACTAAAACAAAGCAAAATAAAAAAGTGATATTTCACATTGTTTCAATTCCAATACTTTAAATTATATAATTTTAAAAAATCAGAAGGGACCAACAAACTTGCTTTATTTATTTAGGTATCTATTTAATTCAATTTGTATAGCTACCCATCTTACTGTGGCTATTGTGAATGTAGATGACTCACAATAAACAAAAACATAACTAACATGACATTAAAGCACCAGAAGAAATCCTGTAAGAACAGCAGAGATAAAAAGCCAATAAAGTTTATAATCACATGGGCTCCACCTTACTGCTAGACCTAGGAAAGTTTTTCAGTCTTTGAAGGTGAAATACAACCCATTTTGTTATTGATATACTAGCTATCAACTATGCTGTTATATGTTCCAGACTTTTCTTGACAAATATTACATGCCCACCAACAATGAGTTTCGCCCACATTTGGGGGTTTGAGAAACGTGCAATCTGTCACTCAAGTATCATGTTGACATATCTAAAAGTTGAAGACTGGGACTGGACAGGTTCTGACCAGTTGCGACTCAGAAGCATACAGTAAGCAGTACAATTTCTTTTAGAATGGGAGAACCTGTTCCAGGTGTGGTTCTGTAGCCTGAGTTTGGGGAAAGTGGGTTTGAGATCCTCCCATATCTGCAGCCTCTCAAAATTCTCAATGATTTGCTTACTACCCTGACTAAAGAAACCACAGAGGTAGCAGTATACTCATCTGTATTACATCTAGAGCAGGGGTATCAAACTGGCAACCTGCGGGCCAGATGCGTCACTCACAGGCCACGCCCACCCCAGCTCTGCAAAGGAAAAAGCACGTGATGTAATCGAGTTTGAGACCTGTGATCTAGAACTTCTTTTTTCTTCCAAAAGAACAGCCCCTAGAAAGTAATTAATTCTTACAATATAAGGCATTAGCTCTGCCCTGAAGCAGTTTCCCCAAGGGCAGGTATCATTAAATCCTTGTATTTGATGTATTTATAATGAGAATTTGCATTCTTGTTCTTATTTTAAAATGGAAATGAACTTTTATTCCAAACCAAAGGCTGTACTAGTTTTGATTAATGTGCTAAGGATTGTACTCCAAAATGTAGAGGAGACCAGAGCAATTTAAATTTCACTGATATTGCTAAGAAAAATGCAATTTTGTAGTAACTTTTGATGGGGTTCTGGGAACTTCACCCAAAATTTTCTAAAGGCTTCAAACTCTGCACTTAAAAAAAAATAGCACACTCATATTTGCATATTTCATAAAAAGCTTTCTTTTTATGTTGCAACTGTATCCTTTGGTAACCACAACAAAAACTTTATGGCACCTTAAAGACTAACACATTTATTACTGCCAAAACTTTCATAGCCCGTAGTCTGCTTAAAAATAGCATTATCATAAGTGGTCTTATTTGTTTCATTGAAATGAATTAGAATTAATTGTATTTATTAATGGTTTTAAGCCGCCCACTTACAAGATTCACAAAAGAATAAAATAATTAATAGATATTGCCTTAAGATGCAGTATAGTTGTATATTTAAAAACAAGTAAAGGCAGATATAACACGTTATAGGGGAACTCACTACTATTCACCTTGGGAACAGCAATACTAGAAGAGTGATTCATACATCCAAAACATAAATCTGTTTTTCAAAATGTAAAACATCTATAACAAAGCTTTCCAATTGATTGTATAGATGCTCCTGGTGCTACTCTAAACACAACTTGGCAAGGAAATATACGAGCAATCAAGTGGAAAAATCAAGAAGGAGAAGTCCACAATGGCTGCAAAGGTAATTATTGAACATGACACAATCCTAGTTCATGAACCACTGAAAAGTTATCTGCCAGATGCTCAAATATTCAGTGACGTTCTGGTCATTCTGATGGGAATGGAGGGATAAAGCCCACAAAATCCCACTGAAGCAATGCTAAGAAAACTACTGTAGATAACTCAATAAGCTGCAGTACAGAATAATCCTAAATGTGAATTTAATTACAAAGTGAAGCACAAAGAATTTGCACCTACAGACATACCCAATACATATAATTGGCTGAGCTTTATCCAACTAGTAAAATTTGGTGGCTCCTTTCTTTTTTTAAAAGCAGCTTTATTCTTCCTAATTTCTTTCAAAGAAAACTAAGACATAGATTTCCTTCTTATTCCCCCATTTCATGTGTATCCATGTCATACATAGACATATCTGTGATCAAAACCAAATTAGGGTAAGAAGTAACTAATCTTTTTAGATTATTATGTTAAAGGGCCGTTTCTTTTCCTTTTCCTTTCCCTAATTCTGATCTACAGCATATTTCACTTGCTGAATGGTATCCAGCCTGGGATTGTCAATTTACAGTAAAATTTTCTCTCTTGTAGGACATTATGTCAGAGAAATTTGCATCTATGGACTTGGAGACTTAGAGTGGCTTATTAATTCTCCTCATTTATTTGCCAACAAATTTGAGCCAGCAACATACCCACTTGTCATGGAGTGTCTAGAAAGGTATTACAGAACAAAGTTGCTCCAGCAAGCTGAAGTTCCTTTGGAAACACACTGGCATTTGGAAGAATAGACTGCTCTGCACATCTCAACTAACCATAATCTCTATGAAGGGCAAAGCAGAACCAAAAACATGATACATTTCAAAATGTATGTTCCAAAGAGGGATACTGCATCATAAGTATTTAGCATCTTGAACCTGAGAACAGAAAGGAACTTTCTGAACATGAAGATTCAATATGCACAGTTCTAGTGTCTTTACAAACATTAATTTCTCTGGGCCTGCTTTTTTTTCTCTTTTTTTCCTTTTGTTTTACACAATTGCTCTGAAACACATAATTGGTGTTTATTGTCTTAGATACTTAGACAATAGTTTCTAGTCGTTGTTTAGCAACTGCTGGCAGTTATGAAGATGATGTAAAAGTAACTCTATGACCAATCCTTGCATTTACAACTGGTTGGCAGCCTGCCAGCACTTATGATTGGCCGCAGATTGCAAGTTTGTAAAGCAAAGAAGATCATAAGCACAATAGAAATTTACTTCACGACTGTTTTGCTTAACAACCGAGTTGTGGTCAATAAGCAAGGACGAGAGAATACCTGTGCTCTCTTTCACATAAATCTCTTTCTAATAGAATGTTTGCTCTTTTAAATGAACTATTTAAAAATAGCGTCCTGACTTAAGTCTCTGAAGTTAAATGCGGCTAAATCAGTGGTTCTCAACCTGTGGGTCGGGACCCCATTTGGGGTCGAACGACCATTTCACGGGGGTCGCCAAACAACGCAATCCGCCATTTTTTCCCCCTTTTCCTTAGCTGTGCTACTCCCTTTTATTCTATTGGCTTTTGAAAGCCAATAGAATAGACTCTCTTGAATAGAGTCTAATTCTATTGGCTTTCAAAAGCCAATAGGAATTGTCCAGGCTGTCTCTGCCCTGCTGAGCCCGCCAAAAGTCCCATTCTGCAAACAGTGCTGCACCAGTTGAGTAGTCCTCGACTTACGACTGGTTGAGTAGTCCTCGACTTACGACCGGTTGGGGGTCGTGGCATTAAAAAGGTTGAGAACCACTGGGCTAAATGAATCACGATTAACTTGTCCCATTTAGTCTAATAAGTCAGTTTTAAGCGTATCTAAATCCGTATCTAAATATAATTCATACATTATTTATCTTTTTTAACATCATTTTCCACGTGCAACTTTATGTAAAATTTAACTAATAAATTACTGAATAAAAAGTCATAAAATTAATCAAAATTTTCTGTCATTTGATAATACTGTTCCTTCCATTCAGTCCAACCTAATAAAGCTATATGTAAAACCAAGTAAAAACCTAGCACACACACACACACACACACACACACACACACAGACAGACATAACACATACATACATACATACATACATACATACATACATATATTAAGTAAGATAAATTAGGAAGACAAAAATAAAATATATGGCAGCCAACTAAGTCTTTATACATCAACAATTCAGATTTCATTTGAATCTATATTTCTTGAACTGAAAGTTTATACGCAGAAAAGTATTAATGAAAATATACTGTATATTATTAATTTACTGGACACATGACCAAAGTTTGGCTGCTTGGCAGCCTGCCAGAACTTATGATTGGCCGCAGAGATGCTACAACTCCTCCCATCTGCCATTCCTCCCACCCACCCCAATGGCCCTAAATGTCAGGGAAGTTTCCACAGTGCAGCACAAAGAAGCCAGGTTGCCCAGGACTGCATACACCAGGGGTAGTCAACCTTGGCTCTTTTATGACTCGTGGACTTCAACTCCCAGCTGTGCTGGCTCAGGAATTCTGGGAGTTGAAGTCCACGAGTCATAAAAGAGCCAAGGTTGACTACCCCTGGCATACACCATGGGGCATAAAGCAGCTGCCCCATGTGAAGCTCCAAATGCCCAGGAGACTTCAAGGGTGCAAAACAGTCACTCACACCCACAAAGCCCCAAACTTCTGGGAAGCTCCAATCCAGCCACTTTCACTGCCCTGCACTCATAAAGTTGAGCCAGGTCACCTGGTGATCTGTTTAATGACCACAATGACCAAAATTCCAGGCTCAGCTGTATCCAGAAGTATGATAGCTGCTAGCTTAACCAACAAAAAACAATGTACCACCAGCTCAAGGTTGACTCAGCCTTCCAATTTTCCGAGGTTGGTAAACTGAGGACCCTGATTGTTTGCGGCAATATGCAAATAATGCACTGCATTGCAAACTAGTCACAGGAGTGCTGTAAAGTGCCATGGGCCGGTATATAAAGGTAAATGCTATTGCTATGTAACTATTTTGATCCAAGTGGTGATGGTGGTGGGGAGCTACGGTCTGAAAAAAACACTCCATATCATGGTTTATATTTGCTTCTATGTCAGTACTTTTTACAAATTTAACTTGAATTTTTAGAAGAGGCCCTATTGAATGCCCATAGCCAAATAAAACTCGCAAAAAAATAATTTAATGAAGGTGTGGCATCTCCCCTGCAAATTACACTTGTAAATTCTTTGCAGATTTCTTAAGCAGGTGAACTCAATCTTTAACGTTATCTGTCTCTGATTTGTTTAACAAAGACCCAGCCATTTAGATATACACAGGCTTAGTTAAGTAAGGCATCACTGGACTGGTGTGTATCTTAACAATGAAGGGCAAAGTATTTCTCTTTTCTCAGGAACACAGAAGGTGGGTGTAGCTGCTCTAATGTTATACCAGTAAAATGGGCTCTTGTACCTAAAAAGACTAAAAAAGCAATAAATGGGATAGTCAGATAACAATTTGATTTGCACTTTAAAAACTCTGTACTTTAGCCAGCTGGACTTTCATTAATTTCCAAGCACAATGAAACACATAAAGCTCTAATTAATCAAAAAAGTGTGCAGATAGGATACCTGAAAGTCTACCTCCTCCTATATATATCTATTACAATTTCTGAAATGACACTTTATTTTAATTCTAGAAAGTTAGGTTGGGTTCATCTCCACTGAGTTCTTAAAGGGAAGGGAAAAATCAATAGTTTCAAAAAGATTGTAATGGTTTCAGATGGATTTGATCCATTATTCATTTTCAAAATATGTAATGGAAAGGACAGAAAAAAGGATTAAGAAATGTTTTGCAATGGAAATTAAAGGCACTGACTGGAGAAAGAAAAAAAAATCTAACTAATAGTATACACCAAGACTATCCTCCATAGCAATAGCAATGACATATATACCACTTCACAATGTTTTACAGCTTTCTCTAAGCAATTTACAGAGTCAGCATATTGCCCCCAACAATCTGGATCCTCATTTTACCAACCTCAGAAGGATGGAAAGCTGAGTCAACCTTTGGCAGATCAGGATCAAACTCCTGGCAGTGGGCAGAATTAACCTGCAATACTGCATTCTAACCACCAACACAGCTCCATAACCTTTTACATTTGCAAACCATTCCATCTTCTATTCCAGACATGTCAAACACAAGGCCCAGGGGCCGGATGCGGCCCGCAAAGTGGTTTCATGTGGCCCGTGAAGCCATACTGGAAACAGTGAGGGAATGGCCCCCGCTGCCTTGGCCCTGGCCCAGGCCAGCCGGGAGCCAATATACAATTTTGTGATAGCCATCTATGCTGAAACACATTCAGTCTTAGCTCCACAAGGCCGTCTAGAAACAGCGAGGAACCAGCCCCTGCCGCGTCGGCCCTGCCCCCTAGGTGCATGCTGGGGAGGTGTCACCCTTTGTGAGGAATGAAGAAATGCACCATCGCCTGGAAGTGGCCAGCAAATGGCCTTCGCCTATTTCACATATCTGGCTTTATGGGCTCTGCCCTGGTCCCACCCCCTTCTGCCAGAGATCCTCAGATCTGTCCCACTCCTGCCCAGGCCCCCACAGGCAAACTTGACGCGAACGATGTAAAGCTGGCCACACCCACCCAGTAGGCCACACCCACTCCATCCAGGCCCACCCAGTAGGCCGCACCCACCCTGGCCCAACTCACCTGGCTCTCCACCCGAGGGCAACCGCAATGCTGATGCGGCCCTCAATGAAATTGAGTTTGACACCCCTGTTCTATTCCATCCACACACTATTTCATACATTGCCTTTGAACTTTGAACTTCCCTCTCTCTGAAGATCTCATTAGTTCCTTATAGTCATGCCTTTCTCAGTTTTCTGTTTTTTCTGTTTTTCCCAAGGGAAAGAACAGAATGAGTCAGCATGATGAAATGGTCTAAGGACTATGACTGGGGAGGGGGGGAACCAGGTTCTGGTCTTCTTCTGCTACAGATGCTCACTGGACAATTACTTTCTTACTCCAAACTACCTCAAAAGGTGTATTGTAGCAAAAACAAAAAGAGCACTGTGGAGCTTCCTTGTACTTCTGAAGAAAATGAGAGTAAATACAAGTAGGAAGGAGTATTAGATATGTGTGTCGCCTTGGGCTGCTTATAAAGTAATACAGGTGGGATAAAAATCAAATAAATAACTAAATAAATAATAAAACATTAATCAATCAACCCTCATTCATTCTCTCTGCATAAGTAAACACATCAGTACATTTATTTTATATTGGCCATTGATTTTACTAGTCACTCCATATTTATTCAGCACTGATTCATTCCTGATCCTATTTCTTGCTTTGCCATGCAACCCATCCCTACTTAACTCAACTTAATTGTTTTCTTGCCATACCCAAATCTCAAGTTACACAGGCAGAGAGGCATGGCTATGGTGAGTCACAATCATCCAGGTCACTGTTATCCCAAAGGTGCTTCCCCCCACACACACCAAAAAAAGGCAATTGGGCTTTGAACTGACTTAGAACTGAAGCAGCAAAATGTTTTCAAAGAAAAACAACAGGAAGTCCAGTTGCCTTTTGGGGGGGGGGAGGGAAAGCACTTTTGGGACAGTCATGCTCTTGTAAATCAGTCATTTTCAATTCTTTTCTTTCTATAGTCTTTCTTTGCAAATTTCAAACTAGTTATGTAGACTAAACTATGATGAGCTCTACTGTTGAGGATGGTGATTTCATTTTACACTAGTCCTCAACCTGCAACCACTCATTTAGCGACCAAAGTTACAACGGCACTGAAAAAGGTGATTTCAATCAGTCCTCACAATTACGACCATCGCAGCATCCCCATGGTCAGACATTTGGCAACTGGCATGTATTTATCATGGCTACAGTGTCCCGGGGGTCGCATGGCTGTCATTTGCTACCTTCCCAGGAGGCTTAGTCTAACAAGCAAAGTCCATGGGGGAAGCCAAAACGACGGCAGTGATTTGCCTAACAACCATGGCAAAAAGGTCATAAAATCAGGCCCAGCTAACTTAACCACTTTACTCAGGAATGAAAATTATGGCCCCAATTGTGATCATAAGTCAAGGACTGCCTGTGTGGATGAATCAAGTCTTGAAGTAATAGAAAATAAGCCATTGATGATAATGACGATGATTAGCGTAAGGCAGTGATGGCAAACCTTTTAGAGACCGAGTGCCCAAACTGCAACCGAAAACCCACTTATGTATTGTCGGATGCTGGATGGGCGTGGCTCATTGGGTGGGTGTGGCCAATGGGGTGGGTGTGGCCCATTCGATGGCATGGCCCATTGGGTGAGCGTGGCTGCAGTGGTAACGGCAGACTGGGTGAGACTAAAAAGTTCAATCAATCAATTCCAACTTTGTGAGATTTTTTTTTCCCCTGAGAAGTTGAAATTGATTGATTGATTTAACTTTTTTTTTTTTGCACACGGCGGAGGCCTAAAGCAAAAAGGTTTTATAAAACCCAGCTGAAGGCCTAGGACTGGGGCAACGGCACGCGTGCCCACAGAGA